GCGATTGAAAAGCACGTGCCACGTGCAAACGTGTTTGATGGGGTAACCTCCGGGAAAATCCGACATTGGCCAACTGGGGGTCCTATGGCGTGGAAACCACTCCACCTAGCGACACCAAATCAACGCAGCCGGTGAGCAGATGAGTCCAGCTTGTCGCACTAGTGGTCACGTGGCGCACGTGCTATTGCACGTGCCGTGGCACGGGGTCAATTTTGGTGCTTAAATATACTAGCATTGTGAAATGCAAGGAATGGGGGAAATAGCCGTCAGGCCGTCAGATTTTATGATAGGGTCGATCTGAAAACAGGTGTAGGCACAGAATGAAGGAGGCTAAAAAACTGTTATCTCGGATTTTTTGTAAAATGAAAAATTCAAAATTCTGGGGAAATTATATATTCGAAAAGTGAAATTTCCCTAAATTTCCCGTTTTTCGAGTTTAGCCGTCCACTGTTCAGAGACGGTGACACCGGCCGGGGTCATCTTTTACATGCTGAAGGCCACGTCGATGGGTCATCACGTGGCGTGAACGGTGAAGCTATCAAAGGTCCGGCACGTGTCACGTGGCCACGTGTTTGAGTTGCGTACCTCCCAGATTATCGTGTGTTTGCCGATTTGTGGCTTTATAGCACGTAAACTGCACCAGTTAAGAAGCCTGAAATGGTGCAATCAGTGAGGGGACAAGTCCTGCTTACACCACCAGTGGTCACGTGGCACACGTGCGAAGATGGGCACCTTCGTGGCGGAGATACTTCATAGCGAAATACTAAATATGCATAACTTTGTCAAATATGGTCCGATTGGACTAGAATTTGGTGGGTGGATGAATTGTTAAGCGACATGAACGAATGCGCCATGTTTGTTGCAGTGCGCCACGTTTGTCTCAAAGCGCCATTTTTGCCGCAAAGCGCAAAATGTGCGTAACTTTGTCGAACATTGGACGATTAGGATGCGCTGTAATTAACCCATTAACGCCCAGCGGTACCAAAAGGTACCAACGCACATTTTGGTTTGCTGCGTTGAGACCACACGTTCTTTCGCCGGATAGATTTTGTCATCGGATAATGACCTCCTTTCCGGATATGCTGTTGGGTATAAATAACGTGCTGATACGAAGAGCTTCGTGTGAGGTGCAGAAAAGCTCGGAGTGTTTCGAGGCGCCGCAGTCATGGGCTGACGTTGGGAGATAAAAACGTTTGTGGTTGCTTGTCTGTAAATATTTTTTTAGCCAAAGTGTGTTTACAATAAAGATGAAGAACTCGCAGCTGCAGTTAAGCAGAAAATCAGATGTTTCGTCATGAATCCTGGCGTTCCTAGGGGCAGAATTTTTGTTGGTACCTTTTGGTACCACTGGGTATCCGAAGGTTGGGACTTTTCAATTAGACAATCACTATTCTTTAGAATTGTGATTTTCTATTGAAAATCCCAACCTGAGCTACCTCTCTAGGGGGGTGTTTAGCGTTTCTGCCGCGATTTTGGACATTTTGATCGCCGCCGAAACGGCTCGGTAGATTTTCTTGCCATTTTCAGCGTTTGGTCCCGTGTGGGGGAGCTACCGGCTGGTACCGGTCGCTTGAAATATAATTAACCCGTTTTGGGGTAATCGGCACGTGCATTTTCCCATAGGGTTAACATGGGGAAAAATTAAAAATGCGATTTGCGCAAAATCTGTTCAGTAATATTTGCCCACTTTTTTAGGGTCAGTTCTTGGGCTGGCACCTCACCTTCTGGGGGTAATTATTTAAAAATCATAGGGTACAGTTTCGGGTAATCGTGACGGACAGTTACCCCATGTTGAGCCTATGGTAATTTCGAAAAATTATTTTCAAATCGATTTTGCAAAAAATTTCCACGTTAGATTTTGAAAAAGTTCCAATATGTTGTGCACCAGGGTGTCGGCTACCACGTGGTATGGGTCAGATATGGGGCGATTGAAAAGCACGTGCCACGTGCAAACGTGTTTGATGGGGTAACCTCCGGGAGAATCCGACATTGGCCAACTGGGGGTCCTATGGCGTGGAAACCACTCCACCTAGCGACACCAAATCAACGCAGCCGGTGAGCAGATGAGTCCAGCTTGTCGCACTAGTGGTCACGTGGCGCACGTGCTATTGCACGTGCCGTGGCACGGGGTCAATTTTGGTGCTTAAATATACTAGCATTGTGAAATGCAATGAGTGGGGGAAATAGCCGTCAGGCCGTCAGTTTTTATGATAGGGTCAATCTGAAAACGGGTTTAGGCACAGAATGAAGGGGGCTAAAAAACTGCTATCTCGGATTTTTTGTAAAATGAAAAATTTAAAAATCTGGGGAAATTATATATTCGAAAGGTGAAATTTCCCTAAATTTTCCCGTTTTTCGAGTTTAGCCGTCCACTGTTCAGAGACGGTGACACCGGCCGGGGTCATCTTTTACATGCTGATGGCCACGTCGATGGGTCATCACGTGGCGTGAACGGTGAAGCTATCAGAGGTCCGGCACGTGCCACGTGGCCACGTGTTTGAGTCGAGTACCTCCCACATAATGGTGTTTTGGCCAACTGGTGGCCGTATAGCGTGGAATCAGAACCAGCCAAGAACACTAAATTGGGTCAGTCGGTTAGGGGACAGGTCCTGCTTTCATCACCAGTGGTCACGTGGCACACGTGTTCAGCTGGGCTCCTCCTTTGCGGAGATATTTTATCGTGAAATATTCAAATGTCCATAACTTTCTCAAATATGGTCCGATTGAGTTCAAATTTGGTGGGTGGCTGCATTGTTAAGCGACATGAACGAATGCGCCATGTTTGTTGCAGTGCGCCACGTTTGTCTCAAAGCGCCATTTTTGCCGCAAAGCGCAGAATGTGCGTAACTTTGTCGAACATTGGACGATTAGGATGCACTGTAATTAAGGCATGGCTGCTTAAACGGCAGATATGATTGCACCACATTTGCCGCAGGGCGCCATATTTGTCTTAATGCGTTAGTGTTAGCGTTTTGCTTACGGCGGGCGTTTTTTGCAGCGGTGTTTGCGTTTTTTCGGGGTTTGCGTTTGACGGCGGGCGGCCGTTTTTGCGTTTTTGGCGGTGTTTGCGTTTGGCGGCGGGCGGCTGTTTTTTGCGGCGTTTTGCGGTTGGCGGCGGCAGTGCGTGCGTTGCGGGCGTTTTTTGCGGCGGTGTTTGCGTTTTTTTTTGCGGTTTTTGTGTTTGGCGGCGGGCGGGCGGGCGATGCGGGTGTTTTTGCTGTTTGCGTTTGGCGGCGGGCGGCCGTTTTAGCGGCGGTTTGCGGCGGGCGGCCGTTTTTTGCGGCGTTTTGCGGTTTGCGGCGGGCGGCCGTTTTTGCGGCGTTTTGTGGTTTGCGGCGGGCGGCCGTTTTTTACGGCGTTTTGCGGTTGCCGGCGGCCGGCCGTTATTTGCGGTTAGCGGCGGGCGGTCGTTTTTTGCGGCGTTTAGCGGTTTTCGGCGGGCGGCCGTTTTTGCGGCGTTTTGCGGTTCGCGGCGTGCGGCCGTTTTTTTACGGCGTTTCGCGGTTGGCGGCGGGCGATGCGGGCGTTTTTTTGCGGCGGCGGTGTTTGCGTTTTTTGCGGTGTTTGTGTTTTGCGGCGGACGCGCGTTTTTTTTTTTGCGACATTTTGTGCGTTTTTTCTGCGGTTTTCGGCGGGCGGGCGATTGTTTTTTTTTTGCGAAGTTTGCGTTGGCGTTTTAGGCATGCGTTTTGCGCGTTTTGCGGTGTTTGCGTTTGGCGGCGGGCGGGCGGTTTTTCACAATTAAAGTCCCAACCTTCGGATCCGCAGTGCTGTTCGACAAGCGCTGCCCGGGCCTAACAGTAAGGGTAATTGATGTGATATTTTCGTAATATAGGGTGGGACAGAACATAGAATAGGATAGGTAATCAATAAATTTGCATCAAATTTTGTTTAGCTGATAGCTCTTTTTTTATGTCGACCAGACGCAAATAAAGTAGCATGTGGCATTTGCTCTGATTTTCAACATCTCATTTAAGTCTGGGTTCTTCCATAATGTATATCTAGTGCACACTGCACATGGACTTCAGTTCAGCTTCCTATAAGTTTGCTTTCAGGTTCTTTTATGTTTTATGGGATGCTTTCATCAGCATTTATTTATGCTTTGTAGTTTATTGCTTGTACCCTTGTTTGGTCATTGCTAGACTGTGGATGCTATTGCTGGTTGTTTTCTGTTTTGCATTTGAAATGTGCTTCCATGATATATTTTTATAGTTGGTTCTGTTTTAAAAGTTGTTTTGATCAATATTGTATTGTTAACCTGAGCAAATGCACTTGGCATTGTGTTTTGCATTTAAAAAAAAAAAATAAAAAATAAAATTTAAAGGTTCTTAAGTCTGACCGCCAAATACCCGCCACACGACAAGTTTTGCTTCTCGAACCCGCCAAAAACCCTGCGGGTTTTGAAAACCCGCAGAAAGCGGGTTCGCGGGCTCAAAAGTGGCATCTCTATTTGGTACATTTGTAGAGACATGTTTCCAGCTGTGTTCCAATCACTTGGATCCCATAATCTGTCTAGCTTCCTTTTTAAGTTCATTTCAACTTCAGCTGATACTGCCTTCAGTCAATCTCTCAGATGTTCTGGAAGTTGCACATGGTGTTCTGGAAGTTGCTCAGTTGCCCATGAATAAGCAATAAATGCGAAACGTCGGGCTATATATCATTTTTTTCAATTTTAACTTTATTCTTAATTTAAAGCAAATGAATATTTAACTTAAAGGCCTTCCTAAACGCTTACATCAGTAGGCATTTAGTATTAACGTGCGTCGGTGTCCATCCATTTCCCACCTGTCACTGCAGCACGGCGGGGGGGGGGGGGCGTCTGATGAGCTCTATGTAGCGCTTAACGTGATCTAGCTGGTCGTCAATTCATTAACATCCTAGACTCTTTTGTGGCACTGCTTGTTATGAATGTGTGAATGTGTTTGTGTTCACTCATCACGCTATTTTAAGACGATCGGACTTCTGGAGTCAAGAAGATAGCGATCGGAAACTAACAAAACCTTGTTGAAAGCTATTGATTTTTAGAAGTACCCACGCCACTCGACGCCTGGGTGAGCTGACCGGTGGTGTCTGGATCAGCAGTGGCCGGTACCCGTCATCCGTGTCAATGACGGTGGCCGGCCACCTAACCCGTCAGCCAACCTGTCGCCGGGCATACCGACTCGCTCCGTCGCGCGCCGACGTCGTCGCCTGCGTCGGCGACGACGCAGGCCATAGTCGGCGACGACGATCGCCGACGGTCAGTGGGACTGTGCGGGGCCGCGGAGACGGACGCGCTTGACTCCTGCTCCGTCCAACTGGACTCGGCTCGGACGGGTCCCACACTGAGAGAATTGTCGGAAGAACAGAGAATACTACTGGGACGAGGGCCTGGAACAGGATCAAGAGAACGAAACACGGCGCTCGTGACTTTCACCCGGTGACTTGCCCCGTTCAACGGTCTTGTGCAGGTGAGCTCTTTTCTAGATAACACGCGAGTGATGTTTGGAGCTATGTTTAGTAAATAGGCACTCATGAGCGTGCCCTAATCTTCTTTTTGAGAAAAAGCTTGCAGAAAATTACTATTGCTATAAAAGCTGCATAAGTCAACCATGTAGATTGGAAGGACATATTCGACGTCTTTTGGCTCATTGTCTGGTATATAAAATGTAATGATTCGGGAACCCTTTATTTCTTCCCATAGGGTAACTTGTTACATTTACTGATAGGATGTGATTTACGTCATTAATCGTTTGATATTAATGATTTATGAAGAAGCATGATATGAGCGAATCTGATCGATAAATTAGGGTACACTCAGCGGTTTGGAAATAACTCAACGCCTTTTTAGACTGTTGGATGGTTACAGGGGCCCTGAAGTCCCCTACACAGAGTAAGCGAAGGTTATCGAATTTTCAATTGATAAAAAAAACTAGAACGGTGCTTTTCTATTGAAAAAAATAAGCATGAGTTGTCTGAATGATGCTGCAAAAGCTGGTTGGGGAACCACACCTCCAGTTTGCTTTCCAAACTCACAAGGCTTGATATGCAGCACCACGAACCGACGACTGGACACATCGCTCACGCCGACTCTGCCCTTCGACAAAATGCGGGAACAATCAGGTAGATTTATCGCAGAGCATGTAATTGATCAAGAGAACAGAAGATAAAGCTGCAATATCTAAAGCGACCGACTTCGAATGCAAGTCTTCATCAGCAATCACAGCGCTTTATTCAAGTAGCTTTAGGACCCGGTGCCATCTTTTGAACCTTCAGTTTATACATAGATGTCCGCAGCACAATCGAGGCAGCAGCAGCAGCGCTCACAGAACTGTACCCGCCTCCTCCAATCGTCCATATTGGTATCCTCCTCTCTGCCTTAGTGCTCATTCATTCATCTCGTATTCACTTCGGCTGAAATACCAATTGTGTGGATGCCATTGTATGTAACTATTAATCAATTAAATTAATTGAAGCCAAGCGGCGAGTTTGATTATTTAATGTGCATGATAACGTATTTTGCCGTATGACGCTCAAGGAAATAAGCACAACATTATTTACGCCTTTCTTTGGGCATTGAAGTTGATTTCGATGACGAAAAGGACGTAGAAATGAGCCGTTTTATTTAATTTAGCCGCAGCAAGGCACCTTTCGGGAAGACTGAATTTATGCTTCGTACATCTCGAAAGGCGTGGCAAAACGAATGGTATATGCACTATGCATCCCGATGCTGGACAGGCACGCCTCGGGAAAAATAAGTGGAATTTATCATTCTATTCTTTCCTAAGCGATTGATGCTAAGAAAAACCAGGCAAAATACCAAGCTGTCATACTACAATAATTTTTCTCATTGGTTGGACGATACATTAACATAAGCAGAGCCGGAAATCTGGATACCGCTCAATAGATTCGTGGGGCAAAATAGTTCTAAAAGTCGAGCTTAAAGCCTGTTGGAAAGGGAAATAGACCCGGCGAATGAGAACTATTATAGAACCATGCGATGACTCTGTCCGGAAATAATGGTTTATGTTTGAAACAGGTCAAATGGGATTGAAAACACTAGGTGCTATGCCCGCTGCAGCTGGCTATGTGGTGGTCAATAACTATCCTATTCGGGTATAGAGTGCAATGAAATACGACAGCTTCTCTGAGGAGATGGTTAATTCTGAAAAATATTATCTACAGCGTTGTCTTAAAATTAGTGGAACGTCAGACTTTAACAATAGACACAGAGTAAATACCCGGATAACGGACACTGCTAACTAGGACGTTCGAAGACCCGGAAAATCCACAGCGCTGCCTCGTTAGAACATCTGTACATGGAGTTCTAAAAAAGATTTCCATTGGTGATCAAAGCCCCATAAATCCTGTTCTGTCTCCCGGTGATCAAGCGTAACGCAGGCGCTAACACCTCGTAAACGTCCTCGCTCTTGAGAAAAAAAAACAGTTGTGGAACTTTCGAACATGTAAAGTATCTGAAATTCCTGGAAGAAAGACCGACCATTCAGTTCGAGAGACGTGACCATTTGGAATGATGAACCAGTGGCAGTCGTCAAGTGCAAAGAGCATGCGATCCTCAGCGTTATGACCAGACTGTTTAACGACATACCAAGCCACATGTTCTGTCGCACACCTCGAGTCGCACTGCAGCGTCTGTCGCAATGAACATCAGTGAACGCAAAACGTGACAGCTCTTCTGCACAACCACCAGGGACGCGATATAGGTGGCACAATGCAATCCATATAGCGCAATGGTACTGTTTTTCAACGGATACAGAATCACGAGTTTGATTAATACGTGTTCAATACGTATATTCGTTTAACCCTCGCCGGCCGAGGGGGGGGGGCGGGTGCCGCCCCCATAGGGTTTTTTTTCGCGATAGCTCCGAGCACGCTGGCGATAGAAAGCTGAAACTTGGCATACCTGACCTTTGATTCAAGCCGGATCTTCTGACACCAACTGCATTTTTGGGTCAGGTCAGGTCACTGACCTATGACGTCATAAGTGAACCTCTGCACGGTCTTCAGATGTCGCAACTTCGCAACGCCCTCACTGCCAGAGGAGATGTCACAGGGAAATGAAACTTGCAGGATCTAGTATCCATTATGAGTCTCACAACTTGTATATCTCGGATTTTTCCTAAAGGTCATATGAGGTCAGGTCATTTTCGTGACCTCGCCATTATAAGTCAATGGGGAAAAATGAAAACTGCTATTCTGGCGCCGGAAACGATCTCCAACTATCTCAAGCACACAGAATCGTGATTTTATGCACTCCTTGCAAGGTTAGATGCGTCACTTTTGCAATGTTGACCTTGCGTGACGTAATTTATGACGTCATCAAGGTCATATTAGTTTTTCGTCAATAACTCTTGATCAAATTAAGCTAGCGAGTCGGGAAAGCCACCAATGGACTCAGGAAGACCTGCCGAATCGAATGATATGCGACATGACCTCTTTCGACCAACTTCGTGACCTGGGGGTGCTGACCTGACCTTGACCTGAGGTCAACACCCCAAGTTAACCTGACCTGGACAAAAAGTATATCATTCGACGCGCCTGAGCGAGGCAAACACGATGCTGCCAAAATTGGCGCTCTGCGGCCGTTTTTGCGAAGTTATTCACCAAAAACTGAACCGTACCTTGGGGCACTTGACCTGACCTCAGAGGTCACCGGTTAACCTAGGACCTTAAAATCGGGTACCAATCTCTGCGTCTCGTAACGGCGCACATGCTCGTTTTTTTTCCGCGACGCGCTAGCTCCACCAGGGGCGAAACGGCGAGGGGGGGTCGTACCCCCCCCCCCCCCTCGGCCGGCGCGTATGTAGAAAACCAATAGGTCCGGCGAGGGTTAAACATTGCAGGGACATTATAGGAGCAATGGCTACTCGATAATCACAACTGTTCCTGGCTTGAATGCTCAGTGCAGCACTTTATCACATCAGATTACAGAATAAATGGATTTGGGGTTGAATGTGTCTACTCGATAGACTGCTTAGTTTCATTTTGTTCATTGTGTTGCCAACAATGTGCTTCACAAATTTAAGTCACGTTATTCAATGGAAAGCATTGCACGACTTTGCTAAAAGGTGCTTGACTGAATGAATAAATGTAACGGTTTTGAAGTTAGGGATATTGCAATCCTAGTGACTAAAGTGTGCTACAAACGTTCTACTTGTTATCGCCTATCGGGCCTTGCTACACCATGCGTGGTCATATGAGCGAGACATTTGCTGGAATGCTGTGTGAAGCAGTGAAAGAACTAAATGATCCGCATTTATAATAGGTATCAGGTATGCTGCAATGGTGGCTGTTGCAACTTCTTCTCAATAGTTTAATCTGCCAGTTGCAAACATTATTTTCTTAGAATAGCATAATGGGTTGCATTTGTTGAATATTTACTTTAACCCTCGCATGTGTGCGGCGTTTGCCAGCTTCTAATGTGTGTGGGGGGGGGGGGTTGGTTGGACCCCCCCTTGCCGTTTGGCCCCTGATCGAGCTAGAGCTTCGCGGAAAAAACGAGCGTGTTGCCCGTGACGAGAGGAAGCCGATGATACCCAATTTTAAGGTCCTAGGTCATTGGTTGACCTTCCAGGTCAGGTCAATGACCCAAAGTCGGGAAAATCGGGACCTGTTAGAAAGTCGTAAAGTGTGGCTGCTAAGGAGTTTTTCGGGGTGCTGATCACGAATATCGTGTTAGTTTTGATCACAGATGATGTCTTGAAGCATTTAGACCAGGTCGGGTCAGGTCAGGTCAGGTCAACCAGTAGGCGTCGTGACGGGTATTCGTAGTACGTGTCAACCGCCTCTGACAGCTTCGTAACATGTTACGAAGTCACCAAAACTACTTCGTAAATGTTCAAATGGTTGCTAAATTCGAATTCAGCTCCAAAAACTAGCCTAGAAACATGTAAAACTCGAAAAGTGACCCCCCCCCCCTACACATGCGAGGGTTAAAAAAACATTGCTTGCTTGGCTTATTCCAAAGCATCATAAAACACTTTCATAATAGTTATGCATAATAAATGACATTGTTGCGAGTCCGTTTTGCCTGAATATCATAGCAGAGTATAACGAGCGCCCACAGACTCGCTGTGACTAGAACACCGCGCCGCAGCCCGTAGCGCGAGTCCGGCCGGGACCAGCTCGCCGCTCATTATGGCCGCTGGCGAGATGGCTCGTGGTACTCACTGGTAGCCGCCCCGGTTCAGCCCACACCAGTTCATTACCGTAATGCCCAGTCCATGGTCAGCGTGGTGCAGCGAACCAACCATCCTGACTAATTTGATATCCCCATTCCAATACCATCAATTCCTATCCAATCCTAAACTAATGTGATTTGAATTTGCCAAGCAAATCCAGATTTTCGCTGATGACATGAAAAAGACTCACATTAGTTACGCTGGTAAATGGAATATGGATATCCAAAATCTTTTGAGATTCCTTTAGGCGAAAAACAATTTCTGTCAATGACGCCCAAATAAATAGCCCAATCTCGAAGCTGATCCGAGCATAAAGACCCATGTGATATGAGAACGTTTCGCGTAAGGTCATCGTTTATTCACCTGGTGAACGTTTGTCAAAAGATGAAATAGAGCTATCCCAAATCTATTGTGAGTGCGAAATGAGTTGCGAATTTTGACTATTGCACGGTCTCTGCAGTCTCTCGATTCCAGTACAAAGTTAAACGAAGCAAACAAACATTTAGCTTGATTGAATTATACCCAATAATGACATGGCATTGCTTGAAATCGTTTTTCAATGCTTGAAAATAACATGCAATCAATACTTTTGTCAGGCACTGCTTTCCACGAACAGATATACAAAGTGATCAAACAGGCAGTTGATAAATATCAATGAATAAAGTTAATTTTATCATATCATAATAAATAAGATTATCAACAGAGCTAAATGATGTTAAGATTCATCGCAACTCGTTGCTGAATGCAGTAATAGCGAAAGGAGTCATCTGAAAGTCTCGCTGCCGAGCGCACCCTCAACCTCACGCGTCCGCCGCCCTCTTCTGCCGACAGTGAGTGTGGGGCGCCACTGCACGTCTGCCGCCATGGCGCTCAACTCTGTGGTCACGTCGAACGCCAAGCGGTACCTGGAGACGATGCTGCGCGACCTCAACTTCACGCTGGACGACTGGGCCATCTACCGCGAGCTGACCGGCCAGAGCGGAGAGCTGGGCGGCCTCAGCGACCAGCTGTGGGCCGTCGACACCGGCGACGAGGACGAGCGAGCCATCTGCGGCGAGCGCGGCCAGTGGCTGCGCGACTCGTACCGACCCTGGCACGGCTACCTGGCGCTCTTCGTCTGCCTGTTCGGCTCGGTGGCCAACCTCTTCAATATTGCCGTGCTGACGCGCAAGGAGATGCGCTCGCCGACCAACGTCATCCTGACGGGCCTGGCGGTGGCAGACCTGATGGTGATGGTCGAGTACATCCCGTTCGCCTACCGCCGCCACATCAGCACCATCAAGGACACGTTCAGCTACCCGGACACGCTGTACATCCTGTTCCACGCCCACTTCGCGCAGGTGTTCCACACCATCTCCATCTGGATGACGGTGATGCTGGCCGTGTGGCGCTTCCTCTCCATCGTGCACATGCACACGGCGTCTCGCTGCTGCAGCATGCGCAATTCCATCTACTGCATCGTGGCCACGTACGTGCTGACGCCCATCATCTGCATCCCGTCCTACTTCACGTTCTCGCTGCGCGGCCACCCGACCCCCAGCGGCCAGGTGCTGTACCGCATCGACATCAGCAGCCTGGGCCGCGCGCACGGCGGCCTCCTCAGCCGCGTCAACTTCTGGCTCTTCGCCGTGGCCATCAAGCTGGTGCCGTGCCTGGCGCTGACGTACTTCTCGGTCCGTCTGATCGGCGTGCTGCTGGAGACGAAGCGCCGGAAGCAGCGGCTGCTGTCGGGCTGCCAGCCGGCCGGCGAGCACCACCCGCTGGCGCGCGGCTCGCGCCAGGCCGACCGCACCACCTGGATGCTGGTCACCGTGCTGCTGCTCTTCCTCATCACCGAGTTCCCGCAGGGCATCCTGGCGCTGCTGTCGGGCATCCTGCAGGACCGCTTCTTCCGCAGCTGCTACCTGCACGTCGGAGAGCTGCTGGACATGCTGGCGCTCATCAACTCGGCCGTCAACTTCCTGCTCTACTGCCTGATGAACAAGCAGTTTCGGGTGGAGTTTCGGGCGCTGGTGTCGCTGCCGGCGCGCCCCTGTCGTCGCCGACGCACCCACACGGTCAACAAGCTGCGCCAGGCGTGCGTCACCGACACGACGTGCGTGTGAGCGCCGCCAGAGAGCCGCGGGTCGAGCACCCGGCGCACTCGTCCGAAACACAGACTGGGGGACGGGCGCAGGACTTGGAATCAGACTCTGAGCCGTGCGGTCGTCAATGTCACAGGCTGCAACTAGCTCACAGTGGGTGAAATCACAGGCTGTTTGCTGCGGCCGATGGTAGAACTCTGCAGGCTGTGAGCCGCACCTAGTTGTTCGAACTCCCTGTGTGTGCCACGCACACGCATCTATCGGTGTCACAATCTGTTGTGGCGATCCTACACTACCATCCATATGCTGCACAGTGTACGAACCAGACACAAATTTACATTTGTGCGTATTCGTGAGGCAGCATTATGTAAATTTCAGCTGCCGTCGACTTTTCAGCTGACGTTTCGATAAATACTTTCTGGCGTCGCCGTGGTAGGCGGGTGTGCGTTCACTACAGGCGACGGCCGAGTTTGATGAAGTTTGACTTCATCTGTTTCGGCCAGAATGTTAATGTTGTGCCAAATGTCGTCCGGATGACACCTGACTGTCTGCGCTGCCGCTACTTCTGAGAAATCGCGGCCCACGGCCGGACGGCGATGGTCTTTCTGTGCGCCTGTGACCTTTCTTAATTGGTCATCATTCGACGTATGTACGTGTGAGGGGCATATGGCCGGTAGACGGCTTTACTGTGGCTGTTATGTGTTGGTCGTTGTTGCTGTCATGTTTTGAATGGTAACTAGAAGTTCAATACCTGCGCAAGATTTGGCCGTACAGGGTCGGATAGGAGCCATTCGAAGGCATTATCCGTGGACTGGGATGATGCTTCAGAAGATTAACTTCAAGAACTTATGTGCAAGTAAAGCACAATATTGCTTGCGACTTTGCCTAATGGGAATGCGTCCTATTTTCTTCATATCTTTGAAAAAAACGGCCGTGTAAATTTCCGTTTTTCTAAAGGAACCGTAAAGTGGGGCTATTTGAGACAGTGGGGCTATTTGAGACAGTATTCAAAATCGCTATAAAATGAAGATCGTTTGATTTTTGTGTGATATATTTGCACAGGGAGGTGTGGAATCGAGCAATAAATCACCTGGGCAAAAAATTAAGCATGTATCTTAAGTGTTTTTTTTATAGCAATTTTAAATACTGTCTCAAATAGCCCCACTGTCTCAAATAGCCCCACCTTACGGAACTTGCAAAAGCTTTTGTCCTAAAAGAAACTTGAGGGTATTTAAACCATTTTTGCTACTTTTCACTCCAAACTAGTTTACGTGTCATACTCAATACCAACATTTGCATCAAAGCATGACCAAGTGCTGAGCCCTAACAGGTCATGTGAGATGAAATGCACGCTTTTTAATGTAACCATAGTTAACAGGAGATCTTCAGTTGTCTCCTGTCATCTACGGTCGATTGAGGCGTCATTGATGACGTTTTCTGTGCCAAACAATCAACAGCTTTACATTTCTCCATCCCTCCCGAAAGTAAACATGACGACCGGAACAAGAGGCTTCCGCCATATCCAGTCAAAGATAATACGAGGTGGCACGGTTGATTGCGATATCCGGAAGAGAAACAAATTCAGCAAGTTTCCCGGGAGGTTCATGCGAACTTCGTTGAGGTGTAACAAGTTTATGTAATTGTTTCAGCCAAAGCGATACAGGAGCTCATAATTTGTGCACCACTTCTTGTATAGTGTCATCCACAAGCAGGAAATTCAAGAAAATAATTGTTCGCGTTTTCAAAGATGTGTGTTTACGTTTCAACGCTCTAAAGAGTACCTAATGATGGCTTTTCATGGTACTTTCGTGTGATGTAGAGACATGTCGGATCATGTAACAAAGCTCAGTGTATATTGTCGTAGGTACAACTGTTGCTGTTTCACGAATACAATTATTTTAGACACAAGAGGAGTGGTTATGCGGAATCACACGGAGAAGAATATACTTATAAAGGGATGCGAGGAAACGCAGCCTTGACGACGAAGGGGTACTTTTCCAAAGTTAGGTACTTACAGGGTGTCCAGAAAAAAAGATACTACGAAAATTAAGTCGCATTCATTAACGCACGTGCCGATTTTGTTCCAACTTCGTGTGCTCATAGTGCAAGATTTGGCAAAACTCATGAGCACTGTAATGGGTCGTTGGAAAGTTGTCTGTCTGCCCTCCGAGATGGTCAACATGACCATCAGTCACCTGCAGACTGTGCTAGTGCTGGAGCTGATCCGCCGGAAGGCCGCTCACATTGAGTATCTACTTTGAGGAGCTGCCGCGACTAACCAAAGAGTTAATATGCCATGTGACGCCTGCTGTCTGTTTTGCCATATTTTTGCGAATACAAGCATGTGCCATTTTTAAATGTAAGGTGTTTATTTTCGGAATTACAGCAAAAAATAATAGTATCCGTTTTTTCTGGACACCCTGTACATGCATTTACACACTACGCTCTTCATTCACCAAATACCTATAAACTACCTTCTCTATGGGAGTCTCTCGGCTTTCACTTCTGATGAGCCTGAGGCTGTCGAAAAGCGAGGACACTGGATTCTACATACAAGCGGGTGTGTGTGTGGGGGGGGGGAGGTACCTGAATATAAGACCAGATAACTAAAAGGCTAGGCCAAAGACCAAACGGCGGCATCGTTTTGTTATGAGCCAGCAAATATGACCACAGCTCAATAATGTTAGAAACTTTGCAATGTTCAGTCCAGAAACGTATCGTGCTATACTTTTGGCTAGAAGAGGTCAATTAAGGTACATGGTTAGACCATCCCACCTTAAAGGGACTATCCCACCTTCTAAAATGTTGTTAAAACCAATTAAATTGTGCCCGACTTTATAGATTGGATGACCAAGAACACGGTTCTGGCATTTATTTTTCATTAAACATCTTAGGCTTCCCATATTCCAAACACAAACTTTCAAATATGTGACGTCACAGCCCAAAATTACCTTCTTCCCCAGGCCACATAACTGCCATAAAGCTGATTCTTTTTACTCTGTAGGCACCACAACAAAGTTCAGACCAAGTTTAAAGCGATTTTTCAACGAACAACCCCATTTAAATCAGAATGACTAAACGAGGTGACGTCACACTAACGGTCGCTCCATGTTGAAGATAGGGCCTTGCACATTGCACAAGGCCCATTTTCAAATGAAGGGAACGAATTTCTTCAACACCAAGAGGCCGCGGGGGTTGCAACCTAGATAGATAGTGGTTTCTGAACCTCACCGCAAACTTGGCTATCTCAACTCAAACCCCATGTTAAAGGTGGGATAGTCCCTTTAACATTAGTATTGAGCTGAGATGGCCAAAATGGGGTCCCTGGCTTGCACTTACCGGTTTGACCGCTCACAAGATCGAGAAATGCCTCAACTCGAAAATATCTAATTTCAAAGTTGCAGCACTTGGATTCAGAGGGGCTAATTACGGAGCGAGCGAAGCGAGCGGAGTCTTTCCTTAGATTAACAGAAATTTCTGAGTATGAGCGGCCGGCCGGCCGGCCGTGGTCACGGTTTTGCGACGCTTATATTGGTGGCGCAGTCGGTTAAGGCGTCGACCCGCGGTGCGGGCGGTGCCGGGTTTCGGGTTCGATTCCCGGTTCCGCCCGTTCCGCGGGCGTCGTCCCCGGCTGCGTCACCAGGTGTGGGGTACGCTCCCACTTCAGCCGTAGCCTGGGGGGTGGGGAATAGGACGGATGGAGGAGCAGGTGCTCTCTCCTATAATTGGGACATGAGCCCGTTGGAGAGAGATCCGACTAAAAAAAAAAAAAAAAAAATCTCAGCAACCACTTGACCGATTTACACGCGGTAATTTTTGTAGGGTAGCTTCATTCCTTCTACCAAGTATTGGACTATTCCCGATGCATGTAGGTGACCCCTTATGCACGTGCCACGTGCAAAACGAAGAGGTGTCACTTTTGTAATTGTTGCAATATCTCGGTAACTACTTGGCCGATTGCGCTGAAAGTTGGCATGTAGGTAGGCACCCACTAGGCGATGCATATCTATGTGCCAAAGTTGGGGTGCTGCTGCACGTGCGCACGTGCAGGGGTCGATTCCAGATCTCGAGAACGGCTGGTCCGATTGCGCTCAAATTTGGTACACGGTTACGGAGCAGTTAGTAGGGTGCCGTGCAAAAGTCAGTTGGGACCCATTTTGCACGTGCGCACGTGCAGGGTGCCGCTTCCAGATCTCGAGAACGGCTGGGCCGATTGTGCTCAAATTCGGCACATCGCTAGAGACCGGTTAGTAGGGTGCCGCGCACAAGTCAGTTGGAGGTACCCCCTCGCAATTTCGCACGTGCAAGGCCCACCCTCTCGCTCGCTCCGTTAGTCGCCCCATAAGGCGCTTTACTGGTGCATTAGGATACTCCCTCTGAATGTGTGACGTCAGCGCAGATCTAACGATTTTAAATTCTTCACTAAAACGTTTAGTAGCACGCGGTAGTATATGCTACTTTGCGCGCAACAAGTGCCGCACTTTCAAAAAAAGTCGCTAGGAAGAGCAGAGATCCCAAAAAATAAACAAAAGTTAAAGTATAATATCTTGAACACCGGTGTTTATTTTTCGATGAAATTTGGTAGAAATTCGTTTTCGCTCTTTCTAAACCAAGCGACATCACTTCCATGTCAATTCATTAACTTTTTTTGAAGGTGGGAGGGTCCTTTTAAGGTCAGGTCGAATAGGTTCAGAGCAGGGCTTCGGAGGGGATGTTTTGTTGTTGTATATCGCTTGATTTGGCAGCCAGAGCTCAATTAAGTCTTTTTAGCTTGCTAAGCTCAGGCTCTTCAATCAGGCTCAGTATTAGTGGCATGGTCCTGAGATGTTACTGTCAGAAAAAAAATCATTGAATAATCAATAAGCCTTTCATTCCTAAAAAAGTTTATCGAACCTGAAGCATTGCAATGTCATGCCAAGCCAATTGTCAATAAAATCAAGATACACCTATGAGTATGTTACCTTCTTATTACCTGGACCTAATCTAACCTTTAGAGAACTTCAGAACTAACATGTGAATACTTTAAATTAGTGTCATAAATTTGATTTCTTATTGAACTGAATTTATGTTATTAACAAAAATAACATTACATCATTTGATTGGTGCCTTAGTGCGAGAACTTCGCTATAGGATGCCTAACAATCGTACTCCTCATTTCAGCAAATGCCAAGCCCAATCATTTTGAATTGGAAAATCAAGCCACCGACTGCAGCTGATAAGACCCTCAAAGCCAGCAAAAACCTCGCGGCCGGTACCGGAGCAAACAGTGCCAGCGATCGATAGCTTCCCGCTATCGTTTAATGGTGCACAGGACGATTGCTGGGCAAACAATAGTGTCCCGCATCACCCGCCCTTCCCGGGCAGGTGCGCGCCGTGGGCTGCAGATATCAGTGATATCATCGGGAATATCAGCTCCTGCACGCATTACGCAATGGGAGGGATGCGGTCAACCGCACATATACCTATGGTATTTGACGCTGTGTAGATAATTATCTTTTAAAATACTACACAGACCAGTATCTACTGAACGGCCGCCTATATATACCTACAGGCCTAACTCCAAAGGTTCATACTTTGACTTAGACTAGCTTAGACAAAACATACGTGGTTACGTGCACGTAGATATTTGTTGAAAAATGAAAATGCACAACTCTGTAATGAACAAGTGTCACGGGCCACCTAGACTACACCTGCGTATCTTTAACCCTCGCCAGACCTATTAGTTTTCTGTGGTTTCTCTTGTGGTTTGTGCTGGACAGATAATCTAACAGTAAAACACAATATCTTCTTGTTTGACATAGTTAATGATGACGTGAGCACATGAACATTGTGAAATTATCCACCACCTGGCGACTTGCTCACAAACTGACTCCCTGGCAGCGCCTATACTCTATGGCGCTGTGAGCTTGCTCAGATCGTTGGGGGGGGGGGAGGGGGAGGGGGTGCTCGGTTGCTGAAAGGGCGTGTCGGACTTTTCCCGGATTCATGGCAGGCAACTATCTGCACTGATAAGCTGTTACAGAGAGGTCAAAGGCCAAGGCACATTTCGTAAGTTGGGACGATGCCACGGACCAAAACCAGCAATCCAACGAGGAGATGGCCTTGGACCTTTGGTCGGTCTAACACTTTTGGCTGCTTGTTAACCGGCTGCTGAGCTTATCAGTCAACCTGACAACTGTTATGTAATTGTGTGCTACAAAGTTCTGCTAAAATCAATAGAGTTCGACTACACACAGAGAAAAATCACCCCAAAAAATAGGGTACTACAGAGTACCGATTCTGCACTACTATTTCGGGTATGTTTACCTTAAAAATGCAGGTAATCCCATCCCAGTCGTGTCTTGCTACCACCATAATCAAGGTACCCGAATTCCATTACATCTTTTTCCTACTCTTGATTTTCCGTTCATTCGAAGACGCTTTTCAGGGTACACCGCTATTTGAGGTAACGCTACGCAATTATTACGGGTAGTAATACACTACTTTCGGGTTTTTGTACCATGCCCCAGGTTCATTTACCTCGTATTTTGGGGTAGTGTAACCTATTATGAGCGCATAAATATGGGTCGGATAACCCAATGTGGTGTAAATGTACGCCAATCGCTCTGCAGAGTGCCAAATCTGTACCATTTTTGCGGGTACCACGGTTCTGAGGGTTTCGTAACCAGGTGCTCGTATCCAGTGTCATCAGGCACTTGTACACCACGCGTCGGTTCTGCTACATTCCGCTACGCAGTTCACCGGAACAATCTGCTAAAATACCGGCACACCGCAGTATATCCCGCGCCCCGCTGGGCTATTCAGCCATACGCGCCTTGCTGGGGGGGGGGGGGCAGATTTTGCCCCCCTGTCTAACTTCCGAACCGATGGTCGTAGAAAGACGGGGAAAA